AGCATCCCCGACCACTTAGTCTGAAGTGGGAATGTGAGTTATCATTAAAAGGGAAAGCTACACTACTTGCCTGAAGTGGGAATGTGAGAAGAAGGCTACTTCTTTGGTTCCCACTCCAGCTGTTATTATATACATGCGGGATCGATCACGTGGGGTGCGCCACGTCACCCTTGCACACAGCCATGGCTCTCTGGGAGCCTCCGCGGGAGATCCCAAGAGGGCCCGCTGTGGGTGCAAGGCAAGTGCAGCGGTGGTGGCAGCGATATAGGGATGGTAAGATACAGGAGGGGAAATGGGCATGCGCACCAGTGATACATTGAGCAGTGGGAAAGGTGGTCCGTGTAAGAGAGAGAGAGAAAGAGAGAAAGAAAGAAAGGAGAACAGGAGAGAGGAAGAGGGAGGAGCGGTGCAGAGCGGGGGTCGGGCAGGGCGTGTTGGGGCATGCCCTGACACTGGCATGGCATGGGGTAGTGTGAACAGCAGAAGTTCTTTTGGAGCTTCCGTGCTCTGGGAGATCCTGCTCTCAGGGCGTTTTTTCACACCTTCTCAGGCTGGAAGCCTGAGAAGAAGTTGGTCTTCATTTTCCGTCCTCCATTCGGATGGAACCTGGAACAAGTCCAGTAGTTTTTTGGATAGCCAACGCAGAGGCTCTTCCCTTTGTTTCCCTTTGTCTGCCTTTGGGGCTTGACTTGGGGACCTGGGGAGGACTCCAGGGGATAGTGGGGCCCAGGAGTTTCCTGCGACTCTATCTGATCAGCTTTTTGGGCTGATCGTTCGGTGCTTACATGTTTATCACACAAGTCGATCACCTCCTGAGGAGGTGAGGGATCTTCCCCAGCTTGGGTTAGATCGATGTGATGTGGAGTTCTAGGGGTATTGGGCCCCACACTTACTCCATGTAAGTTTCTAAAACCTTCAGGGGACAGCCCTGAGGTGGTTGCTTTTACCGGATCATGTTGATCCTCGTCATCGTCTGACGATGGCTGTTGATTTGAATCTCCCATGATGGGAGATTGCAGTTTCTTAATGAATCGCTTGTTTCTTTTAACATTGCTGCAGACGCGACCTTGCCCTTGTGGGTGTGTTTAGGCACCATTGGCGCTACTGAGTCAAATTGTTAAGATGTTAAGTTTTGTGGGTTGTGTTGTAAAACACACCTCATACACTTAAAAAAGTGTGAGGTCTCAGTGGGTAGCTCAGCACACAGAGCTGTAAGTGATACAATGGTGTGTATTTTACGGTGGTGTGTAAGCAGTTACCCAGAGGTTACCGCTTACCCACATGACTATATGTATCTTAATTACATATGGCTTGGGGTTCGGGGCTATTGCCCTGACAGTGTCAGTAATGCAGACACGAAAGGTATGCCAGTTACATGTTTTTCCCAATCTTGGGAAACCCCCCCCCAATTCAATTGGAGAATGCCACAGGCTTCGGCAGTTGCCTTGCCCATATTTGGCAACATTACCCATTTCCCTGCACAATCATGACTTGTGCCATGAAATAGTATGGTCACATTTTTCATCATTCATTGCCAAGCTTCCCTCCCCACTATTCCCCAACCCAGCCTAATCCAGCTCCAAACTCCAAATTGGTCCTGTTTTTTGAACCAAAACAAACTTTTGAGGTGGCACAGTGTCATTGGCTCCCTTTGCTGTCAATGATACATTGGGCTTCAACTGTCAGGGATGCGTCCGGGGTAGAGGAGGCCCGGGTGAGACGCCCGACACTAGAAGCCTCGCGGGGTGTGGAGCGGGCGTGCATACTGGCGGGCCCGGCTCAGGAGGCAGTCCCTGGCCACTTAGACTGAAGTGGAAAAGGGTGTTATTATTATTAAAAGGGAATACTATGTTACTTACCTGAAGTGGAAAAGGGTGAGAAGAAGGCTACTTCTTCGGTTCCCACTTCAGGTATGTTTATATACATGCGGCTTGGGTCACATGATGGGTGCCACGTCATCCTCGCATACAGCCGTAGTCACCCGGGTGTCCCCGTGGGGGATCCCGAGGGTGTCCGCTGTGAACGCGCGAGCTGGACATAGCGGGGGTCGCCCAAGGCGCCCGGGCTGGGCATGTCGTGAGCGCACTGCGGGTGGGTCAATGGTACATTGATACAAGGAAAGGTCGTCCGTGTAGAATAAAGAGAAAATAAAGAGAGAAGGCAACATAAGTAAAGAGAGAGTGGAATGGAGAAAGAAAGAAAGAAGAAGGGGAAGGAGGTAGGGGAGGACTGGGTGGCGGGGTACCGGGTGAAGTGGGGCCGGGTGGGGCCAGGTCAGGCGGGTGTGCCCTGACATCAACCCATGTATTATTCCTACCACACATCAATATCATGCTTAGTTCCGCTGCTGATAACTAGGGAGATGTTAAATTATAATCAGTCACATTCGATGGAATGGGACGAGGTATCAACTAGGTGGGAATAACTCTGGGCTCATTAAATGGGTTGGGTTGGGGGATAATAGGGAGGGGACACTCCGCAAGCATCAGTTGGTTCAGGGTTTTGACATAACAAGCATTGCCCCATTGGCCAGACCCGCAAACATGACCCCAATAGCCTACTTACTTGAATTTGGTCACCCCAATGTTGTTTTAGACCTTGCATGTAAGTACATGAAGTTACATGTCCGGGCCCCCCGTGAACCCCCCCCCCCCCCTTTCAACCGGGAAATGCCGACACCCCCTTGCGTCCTGGGATGTTCCCATACAAAAGAGGCCTCTAGACCCTCTTTGAACATCCTGAGAACCCCTCTCTATAGGCCTAGATATCAGTTGTCCAAGGTGGCAAGTGAACCGCTGAAGCGGGTTGCCATATCTGGAACGCCGCGTTTACAACAACGTTCGCATATATATTTCCCTGTAAGATATTAGGTACTTGCACAAATCAAGAAGCACAAGTCGAGCTGCCTGGTGTGTAAAGAAGCTCGCTCTATATATGACGACCGACAAATTACAAAAGAAACCAAGTCACAAGTCGCCAAGAAGCAAAAGCTACAGCGTTTTCATCTTCATGTAGCCACCAACCATGCTCGCATCAAGCGTGAACTTGAACAGGCACAACATCGTGCACCTCGATTCTAGACGAGTCCTCAGAGTCAACAGCCAAAACCTTGGTCACTCCCTCGGCTACACCCAATCCCAATTCAACATCCCTCTTAACATCCCACACCTCCCCTTTCACGGCCCACCTCAAAGCCCTCTCCAAATCAACTAACAAGTCCTCCTTGTCTTCAACGCCTATGCTCAATCTGATGAGCCCTGAACTAATGCCCAATTTCTCCCTCGTCTCAACGGGTATACCCGCATGAGTCATCAAAGCTGGGAGTTCAGCAAGCGATTCGACTCCGCCCAATGACTCGGCCAGCGAGAAGAGGTGAGTGGACGTGAGGAAGCGGGATGCAGTTGAGGTGGGTTCAGAAACTTCGGCGGGAGAAAGGATAGATGAAGGAGCGGAGGCGATCTTGAATGAGACCATTCCACTGAATGGAATCCCTTCCAGCCCATCATCACGACCAGACCACGTTCCGCCTTCGATCCATTTACGTGCGTGAGGTGAGAGAAGCGTGTCGCGGACGAGTTCATACACTCGTTCGTTATCTTCGACTCGCCGGGATGCTGTAGATTTTAATCCCGGATAGATGACCCAGTCTACAAGTCCTAATCCCTTGCCTCGGGTTGAAAGCCAACGCGCAACGGCTAAGGCATTCTCACCGTGGGCTTTCATTCGAAGGGCAAGTGTTTTGACTCCACGTTGTGCGAGCCAACTGTCGTAGGCGCTTGGCACAGCTCCGATAGCATTTTGAAGGAAGCGAAGTTTAGATTCCAATGTAGCTGCAAGTGGTTTAGGATTAGGGTATTCGGTAGATGTGTGTGGAAGAGGGAGAACAACTGCTCCCATGAGGACATCTGAATGACCATTGACGTATTTTGTAACCGAGTGTAAGACGACGTCTGCACCGAGAAGGAAAGGGGAAGAGTAGAAAGGAGAGAGGAAAGTATTATCTACTATGACGAGTGGACGAGAAGGATGAGAATTAGCGATGCGAACGATTCGGGGTATGTCAATAATGCGAAGCGTGGGATTAGTTGGGCTTTCAACCCAAATTAGCTTTGTATTATCTTGAATGGCGTCATATACTTCGTCATCACGAGCTGATTCGAGGTCGATGAAAGTAGTAGCGAGGTTTTGAATGACATTTGCGACCCGGGTGAAATACCGGGCAGTACCGCCATAGACATCGTTGACGGATAGAATGTGGGAGTTGGGACCTGCAGCTGTCACAAGCAGCGCGGTGGCACTAGACCCAGAAGCCACTGCTATGGCCGTATGACCACCTGCTTCGATCGAAGCTAGCTGAGCTTCGAAGCTACGGCGATTTGGGTTGTCGGAGCGAGTGTATTCGAATCCCTGGATGCCCCGATGACCAAATATAGGAAGGCAAGTGGGTTCCGAAGGATCGGTAAAAAGTCCGATGAGCGAAGAGTAGAGATGAAAGGAATTAAGAACAGGATATACCTTGTGAACGCCTATGGCATCTTGTTTGTATGTGGTGCTGAGGGAGATGGCAGGGATGACAGCACCAGTCTCGCCACTAGGTTCGGAGCCTACATGGATTGCACGAGTGGCGAATCCAGCTGTCGAGGCATCGAAGTCTATAAAAAACGTTAGGAATGATCTGTCTAGGGTAGGAGAGGTGGATACAGACGATCTTCAGCAGATACAACAGAGACTGTATCGGATAGCGTGGAGGTTGGAGTATCAGGCTGTAGACCGGAGACCATGATGAAAAAGATATTATATCTAAGAGGATATACTGGAAGGAGAAAGGTAGTGAGGGGAAGTAGGAAGACGAAATATGGCGTCTTCTTTTATGGGGAGTGAGGAATACTGGGATTAACGATATATACTTGCGTGATATTTTAAAATGACTCGCGATCGCGCCATTGCTGTGGCTGTGATAGGCTTACTGAATTAGCATTAGTCACCACCTGACTGATGCACAGCCACTGACTCGCTGACGTCGTTCCGTTGCGGGATTTTATGATTACTCAACCATCACTAATATAAGTAGCTGTTCTAGATTTCTCTAGACGGCCTGGTGGAGGAATGAGCCTCATTTCCGATACAGAGTGAGTGACATATCTCCCGAAGCAATTGCCAGTTGACCCGGTGGCATTGACCTTTCTGGTCAACCCCGGACCTTGTGCGTTAGCTACCTCAAGCACGCTTTCCGTCTCGCATATCTTCGTCACGTCGAAGACTCCCATAAGGAGTCCATTATTTCTCTTGATCCATCCTATGCATCCAATCCGCATATTCGCGCAGCTGGACTCGCAGACCCTGAATTATGGCCTGAGATCAACAGACCTCCTTCTCCTGAGCATTCCCCTCCTTCTGATGCTCCATTTAAGCCCTTCAGACGAAATCGGAGTGTGACGGTGGGAGGAACACCCATTCTTGACGATGACACGCGCGTTACTGGTCCTGCCCCAGAGGAAGGAAGGTTCCCTGGAGCGACAGGATTAAGATACACTCAAACTATTATGCCTCCCAACCGAGGTGGAATTGGGGCTGGAATGCGTGTATCTGGTCGTCGACTGACAGCCTCTAGAGCTTCGCCATTCATTGCTGCACCTGTGACGGAATCACGCCTTAAATTAAAAGTGGACACTGATGAAGTGGATACACTACCTACGCCTATTCCACTCAACATTGCCCCCGCCACACCTACGTCTGCCGAATTAGCACGCGTTCAAACGGAGGATTCCCAAGAGATCTCACGCCGTCGCAGCTCAGGCGGATCTACGATCACCGCACCTACTCCAACTTCTACTACCAACACCAACGCCGCGTCATCATCTTCTCCGCAAGTCATACAACCGGACACTTCCTTACCACCAATTGTTGCTCCCAAACTCGCTCGGAATGCGGAAATGGAGTTTCGCAGGAGGATGAGAATGCGCGCTCGATTCCCCGGAAATGATCCTGTTGCTGCCGAGAGTGGTGATTTTCCCCCACCTGCGGGTCAAATCGCTCCGCATCCATCGAATGTCCCTCCGAAACCGCTGACTTTTGCTGATTTGAGTGATACGGAGAGTGACCGAACCGCGAGTGGAAGTGGGAGTGGGAGTGGAAGCATGAGTGGATCCGTATCGACGAGTTCGGGGGAATCGTCCGTGGAGGGTGAGGACCATGGTGAGGAAGCAGATGATGCCAGAGACGAAGAATTTGAAGGGGCGGAATTCCTTGCACCGTGAGTCGAAATTGCCCCCACTCATTCTTATGACGGTCCCTACAATGTATGACGCATACACATATACAGGGGTTACCCACAACGTCGAATATCAATGATCGCGTCTAACAACTCGGACGAATTATCCGTTCTCTCTGGTCAACTTGATTTATCCGTGTCCCAAATTTCTGGATCAACAGGGTATAATTCTTCCTTACAAATGACTCATAACGAACGGGACCGTGTGAGACGAAGCCCTGTCGCTGAATCGTCCGCCGCACCACACCCCGCAAGATTCGGGGCGCCTTTACTTCCGCCGCCCATTGAAGACCCAACTCAAGTCCGTCAACGCCGACCTTTAAAACCATTTACCACTCCCGACAAGGATAAAGATAAAGGACTACCTTTAGACTCATCGAATGCACCTAATGCTACGAATCCGTCTGCACGTCAGCATTTGCCTGTATCTCGATCGACATCCCATGGCGGTACACCTCGTCATTTAACCCCCAAGATTTCTATCCCTACATTTCGGAAGAAATCACTCCCACCTCGCATGGTTCCTTCTTCAAACACCTCCAATTCCCCGGCCTCCGCCTCGTCCAAGCAACCTCAAGTCATCTCTGCCCTTTCTCAGAAACTGGCGTCCCTCTCTGCGGGAGGCAATAATGCCACGGGAAAAGAAGACAACCCGTTCACTCATTTTTATGCTGCCATCGCTGGACGCGGCAGTGGCACAGGCACCACTACCAACAGTAACTCCAATTCTTACCAAATGGAAATTTACTATCATGTCGTCTCTCCCAAAACTGGTAACGCCGAAAGTTGCAAGTACAGAAGGACACCGAAATCGCTTAAAGTGCGAATGGACGCATGTGTGGAGGAAGTGATTGGGTTTGCGTTGTGGAGTTATTGGGAGGAAGGGTGTGAGCCTAGATTGGACGAAGGTGCGAAGAAATGGGATGAAGAGGAGAGGAAAGTGAAGTCGAGTGCTAGTGCGTGGTGTTTGAGGATTGTGGAGGATGACGGAGATGTGGATGATGATTTTCCTGGTAGGTCGAGTTTCTTCCTGGTCGTGGGGTTTTGGGGAGATGATATAAAGCTATTTACTACTGCTACTTTTTTTTGTGTGTGTTTGGCGACAAAGTTCTTGTGAGGACGAGTTCGATTTCGAGGTGGTATAGGCATCCACTTGCTGTGGTGGAAGCTACTCCTTCACAAGGCAAGTCCAAAATACTCAAAACCATACTCAAAAAAAAATTAATCACAATAACTTTTACTTCCAAACAGTAAAAGAAAATCTTGAATCGGACTCCAAGATCGTTCGTCGTCCATCCAGACTCGTCATCACGACTCGCGCCAAATCGGATTCCACTACCTCGGGACAAGGACCACCATCGCAATCAGCCCTGACCAAATCTCAAGCTGGGTTAACGCCAGATGCGATCACGTCCTCTGCACTTACGGGAGGGAATGCTCCTACGACGATTACACATGAGAAGAGTGGAGCACCAGTGTTTTTGAAGGTGAGAGTGGCTGAGACGGCGGATGCGGCGTATTATTCCACTACGATACATGTGTATGTGTTTTCCGTTCCCTTCTCCTTCACATTCGCTTATTTCTACATACACACACTCTCTCTCTTTCACACACACACACGCAGCACAACGGATACCTACCTGGCCGACGTCCTCGATCTCGTTTGTAAAAAGAAAAAAATTACTAATCCAAAAGACTACGCGCTCCTTCTCGAGGATTTGAGTATTTTACTCCCACTTGACAGAACGGTGGTTAGTTTGGAGAGGAGGGATAAGTTGTGTATCATGAAGAGGGCTTTGTTGGAAACGTTAGGTCCTGGATTAGGGAGGCAACCTGGACGAGCGACGGATCCTAATGGTGAGTAGTGATCTTTTTTTTTTCTCTTTTTTTGCTTGGGGAAGGACTGATGAAGTTGGATTGAAGCGTCGATATTTGATAAGAATAAGCATCATGCCGACTTGCTGCCTGATGTGGCCGATTTCGCTTCGGTCTATAAGGTGAGAATCCTATTGAGCGCGAGACGGATCATACCACCAGGCCGATCATGAACCCTTTTTTTTCTTTTCGCAAAGCTGGTACTGACGCTCCTTTCGTTTCTGTTTGTGTTCAGAAATATACAATTTATCGTAAGATACCCCGGATGTTTGGGTCTCATGAGAGGGTGCTGGCCATTGATGGAGATTACATCCACGTAAGCCAAATCCATCAAAAGATCAAGGTTTCCAAAGTGCTCCATGCTGATGGACATTCTCCTAACAACTTTGTATTTTTTTCACTACATTCCAGATAATGCCGTCCGCCACGAGGGCCTTGCTTGATAGTCTGAAGACATCTTCGTACCACATTGGGGCAGTCGTCAAATGCACAATGTCAAAGAAAGGCTCCGCTTCAGTGAAGCTTATCGTCCGGCGTGAGACTGGGGATAAGAGATACGATCTGGAAGCTGAGAATGCACAGCTTGCTGGTAAGCTACGAACCAAAAGTTGTTGGAACGTAACGTTAATATGTGTGATTGACGTTGTTGGGCTACGATGGGATATTTGTTTTCTTTAGCTGAGATCGTGACGACGATTCGGAATTTACAACGGACGTATGGGGTTGAACGGTCAGGATCGCAAAATCGATCGAAGAGTCGTCGGTCGAGGACTTCGGCGGTTATGATGACGTGATTTACTGCTGAAAGTTGTTTTTTTTTTTTTTTTAAGTTATCTGGAGTTAGTTTGGGTTTTTTTTTTGGTCAATTGGAAGATGTTTTTTTGCCTGTGCGAGCATTCTAAGTGCTGAATTTACCGTCAGGGGTGTTAAATCCGATGATGTCGGCTTACCTAACCTCCCGAGGGTGCTCCACTCTTCTCATGTGTAATCGTCATAGGAGTATTAGTTCCTTCCGTAAGCACCCGGCATTAACGGAAACTGTTTCATGTGATCCAAATGCGCTAAAAATTAGAGCGTAATCCTGGTTGTGAGCCTTAACTTGAGATTCCGGTGCACGATGATATCCGGTCCCGTCTTATGACGAACCTTTAGGTGTCTAGTAGCCATCAGGGAAAACTTATGGGAATAGTGGCGCTGGAGCGTCATCAGTACTGGTACCGTGTGGCGCCAGGTCATGCGATCTGGCGTTTTCAATCAGTTGTATTTCACGCATTCAGAGCATCAAGAGGGCAGTAAAGGGGGTGCTGCACGGAAGACCTCAATCCAGGATTACAACCAAATGGATCCGAGAGAGCGTCAGCGTCATATCAGTTAGGATATGGCCTAGCTATCCTCGAGGTGACCGGACACGTTTCAGACCCGAGTCATTCATTTGGTAAGCGAAGGAGGGATTAGATTCCGCTGAAGGCCACAGGTGAATAACGTAAGTGGTTCAAGTGTTCAATGAACCATGCAATAAAAAGGATTCAGTGCTGCATGCCCTCTTTGAGATTGGATCAGCCTGTAGCCAGAGCATTTTCTCAAGGGCTCCCCAAACGTTACTAGGCAGGTATCCATGGGGTTCGATCGGGAAACTGAGGGTTCGAAAGGAGTGCTTTTGTTTTCACGTCCGCGGGAGCGACAAAGCCCTCGCCGCATTACAGCGTGATTTCGCCGAAAGTTTCAAGACCTCAACAGTCAGGATAGGGATAGGAAAGGAAAGTTGCCCATGTCCCTGAGCCAGAAAGAACGCAGAGGAAGTTACACACAAATGTGACGACGTTGAGAAGACGAGGAATTGTAGAAGGTACGTTGATAATGTTTGTGCCAAAACCGTCCTCAAAACACCACCAAAACCTCTTGTCGTTGTGGGCCCTTGCACGGAGTTGGCCGAAGGGCATTCACTAACACGTATCCTGTCCGCTGTTTTGGCTTCCTGCTCAGCAACTACCCCCGCCCATTCTCAAGCAGGTTGCTGGGACGTCAACATGACCGAGTTAATGAATCCAGTCTCCTAATCAAGTCTGCTTCATGTGTTCATGTTCTCCGCTCTGGGCATGATGCGTAGCCCTGGTGTTGGCACAGTGACTTTCATTCTACTACGGGGTGATAGCAGAGATAAGACAATTTTGTTCTACCCGTTGGGTCATTTACTGCGGAGGTCGGGGCAGTTCGAAGGGGTCGGATGATGTAAAATGTCGACTCGTCACGAATATATGGCTGTCAAGACTGCGATAAAATAGGGCTTTTCAAGCTCAACAAAGTGAGATGCATCTACACAATCTACGTACCTTTTTTTAGGAATTGCACGCGTGCAAATGCACATCTTGGCTTGAGGTTGCTTTCTCAATGACAACTTGACTGTGCCGAACTTAGGCCTGACATGACGGCGTAACACGTGTGGATTTATGGATCTGGCTCTGAACGCACTGGGTGCCCAGACGGATCTGATTCTAAAGTCTTGAACATCAAACAGGAGACTCACTTCGTTTGGCATTGCAATAAGTACTCCTGGTCATCGTTCTCCTTCGGACCGACACCACGAGCTATCGCCGCTGAATTTTTGATGCCACCTTCTGAAAGGAGTTCGATCGCATCATACCTGAAACTGAGTGGGAGAAGTGCAGGTTATCGCATTTTTTTTTTTTTTGATTGACAAGTAAGGTCGCTGTTGTCATGCCACATTCACATTTTATCGCAAGGGCACTCTGGAATATTGTGATGACCATTTTGACTCTTCTTTTCTTCGAAAAAAAGCGTAGATTGATGGCCTCACAACATCTTTTGGTTTCATTCCAGGAAAAGACGCGCCACAACTGGCACGCTGCTGCCCCACATTCGGCATTGGGTTTAACATTAGCGTGAGGGAGATAGAGAAGCAGCCTCACACGTTTCAGATTTTGAAGTGTTGTTCCACTGTGGATGGAATTGCTTGCACATTCTGTGGTGCGAGCGAGCCATTTGCATTTGCATTCATCAACACTCACATTCTTCCTTGTTATCAACCAACACGCTTGTTTGAAACATCTGCTCTCTCCTTGGCTTGTGAGTTATGACATGGTCATCTAACCGACAACATCCACAGGAAAATGCTATGTAGGTATTCAATAATAGCTTCCACGGTTTATATCTTGTCCTTCTATCTACAATGTCGCCCCATACCATCCAACCTTTTTATTACGTGGACTTTCCACCATCCAGTTGGTTTCTTGGGGTGAGCAGTAGATTTCTGGATGAAGAGCGTGTTCGTGTTCCTCATCCGTTCTTCAACCCATCTACATAAGGGGTCACCATCGTCACACCCCTTTCATCCTTTATGTAAGCAGTCCTTGGTGATGCGATAGTGCATTAGCGCTTGTTCTACCGGAAAGAGCCCTCCAGCCCGTATCATGGGTACTATGTTCGTTTTCGGCATTTGCATTGTACAGTAGGTGATATAATTCGGAAACATCACAGCCTGCCTTTAGTGCAACTGCTTCAGCGACCATCAGTATTGCTGGGTCTCCGGTAGACTCTCACCCTAAATTTGCTATATGTTGTTGAAGTTCATGCTCCTGATCTGTAGGAGATATACGGGGCCCGAAGGTCTCAACAATCAGTCTTCCATGCCTTCCACTTATTCGGCGTAGCTATACTGAGAGTGAAAATGGGCGCTCTCTTCATCCTCATAACATCTTTACCTCTGCCTTCCCAGCTGACCCCCCCACAATACCAAGAATCAATACAGTACTAGGCCGGGCCCGAGATGCACATCATGGCTACCGGACCTCACACTGGCGTTCGCCCTAGAATCGGTGCGGAGCTAAGTGCCAGTGGCGGCTTTTGCAGCGAATTCTGCCCAGTTCGGTGTTGGTCAGGGGCTGAACCGTCTGGGAGAACAAACTCAGCTCCTGAAAAGACCGATTTTAAGGGGCACGCTGAAGAGATCCTCCTTCCTGATTTCCTGAACCACCGATTATTTGCGGTCTGGTCGTTTGTTTCTTTGCTGCATACATTTACACGTAAAAAAAAAACCGCAAATTTAGTTGCCATTTTAGCGCCCGTTCTCATTGAAGTACATACATACCTTCCGTTTTACCCCCTGCAGGCTTGTTTCATCCTCTTTGTATCTTCCATCCCTGCTACTCAATTGATCCTTCGACTCCTGATGGAGTGAAAAAAATCAATGGTGCGCAAAACGCGCGTAGCTGCATGCCGAGCCTCACTCATACTGGGCCCGATCCGTGGATTTGTGCAGCAGAGTAGCAGCTATGCATCGATCATGCTCTGCCTCATCAAGAGCAGAAACTTATATGACACCGACCCCCCGATTCCTCACGATTGCGCCAATTTGCGCCATCTGGTTCCGAAATCCACACACATACTCATTAACATGTTACTGAACGCAAATTCTTTCGTGTGATGCCGGCTTTCCAAAGCGGCGGAATTAGGGCTTTAGGAAGGGGGTTGTAACATATCCCAATTCTTGGCCGCATTCCTGCAAGTGCCGAATGCGCAGAGTGCAATGCTGAGCTACATTGGTTGATAATTAATCGAACCATAACGAAGTTCTGGATGAACTTATCAGCAACCGTCTGACAATGGGAGCCAACTCATAGAAACGATGGCACTTGATCGTGTGGCATCAAGCCATGCAAGATGTGGCGGACGGGCTTTGAATCGATCATCTTAAGTTCCACATATTTCGAGGGCATCATGTCAGAGCGGGGTGCCAGGAGATCTCAGGCCAGGGATAAAGTTAAGCCAGTCCAAAAGTTCACACATACGAGTAGAGCGTCATATCAGCTAGGATATGGCGCAAATACCCTCAAGGTGGACACGTCTTCGAACACAAATCATTTATTTGGTCAGCGAAGTCAGGGGCCTAAATTCTGCTGAGAGCCACGGGCTGTAAAACGTGGTGATTCAACCAACCAACCAATCAATAATACGGATCGTGGCCGGGCCCTATTTGAGATTGGAAGGTAATTTTTCAGAAAATCATTAGGGTGCGTATTCAACGGGCAGGATTGATTGGCGTTAAATTGAGGAGCCCAAGTTGTTCCGACAAGTGCGTACATTTATCTGTTGTCTGGATTCACTCCCAGTTGTTCAATAGAACAACAATGAGCAAGATGGGTACAAACGCCGGCCATTCCGAGCATTCTCTTTATCGTTGTCTACCATCGATCGCAGCTAGGATTTCGAGGCGAATGTGTGCAAAATTCCCATGACTAACTGCAGCAGAATGATCTGAGACGCGTGTTGTAGACTGGGTAACCCAGGCTTAGCGACATAGAAGTCAGAGTTCTGATCTTGACTAGTTGCCCACATCGGTCAAGGTCATAATCGTTCGCCAAGACCCTCCGGGGTGCGTATAGGATCCCCCTAATTTGGCCTCGAGTCGCCCCCTCCGTCTCCAATGGTAAGTACCTACTTCCGGGCTCATAATTCGCATCCAGTCTCAACAGGCTTATGTGCGTCTTGTCGGAATAGGAATGTATTAGGATGTTAGCGATTTACGCTAGCGTTTTACGCTCAGTCAATCGTTGTTGAACTAATTAGATTGGAACTAATTACCTAGCGTTTTACGCTAGGGCACATGAGGGTACATGAGTGACAAGATAAATGTGTGGTAAAAGCGCAGTCTCACCTCAGTCAATCGTTGTTGAACTGAGGGAGACGAAAGTGAAAAATTGTTCACTGCTTTTATAAGCAGTCGCCTCAATGGCGCACTGACTTTGGTAGCAGGAATACCAAGAAAGGAAATATAGCGCCGCTAGCTCAACATCACATTGTGAGTTGGCCACAGCGCACTATAA